AGTATCAAGAAACAGTAAATTGTCGTTAAAATAAAGGCAAAGAGCACTGAACTGTTATGTAATATCGAAGTTAATGCTGGGCAATTCTCCTTAAGGATGAAGGACATATCTGAGACAATAGAAATGTGGTTATATAGAGAAATGCTTAGAATAACACGGATAGTAAGAAAAAATGTTTATGCAAATAGGAAAAAGCAAAAACAAAAAAAAAACTCATGATAATAATCCGATTTAGAAAGATACAAGTGAGTATATTAAGTCACAAAATACGGAAAGTGATTTGGCCGAATTAGACACTCACCGGACATATTAAAGGAAAGAAAGTCAGAGAAAATCAGCAAGGAACACATCTAACGTGCTTGAGAAATTTGTTGGCAGAACAGTGATTAGGAGAGGTAGCACAAAGAAAAAAAAACATTGCTAAGTGCCACAAAGGACAGGAAGTTGTGAAGAGTCATGATAGCATCGCAGTCCTGAATTGACACGACACACACACAAAAAAAAACAAGAAATGGGTCTCATGTAGAAATGAAAACAAACACAGAAACGTTTAACCGCAATAGGCTTCGGGTGATTTTCTAATCGTAGCTTAGATTTGGCACAAGGCCGAAAGTGTAGGGCACCTAGTGAGGATCGAACTCACTACTCAGTCGTAATTGTTCTAGTGAAACAATCTCGCTAGCCATTATACCACATCGAATTGCCAAAGGATGATCTTCTAAGTATAGATGTTGCACAAGGCCGAAATTGTGGAGCAAATTCACTACTCAGTCGTAACTGAACTAGCAAGAGAAGCTTGCTAGCCAATGCACTACGTAGAAGCGCCCACCACCATTGGTCTATGATCTCATAATTAACGAGAAAGATTCTGAGAATAACCGTATTTATTATACAGTAATGGCGATGCTTGTTAATATAGAAGAACCAACTAATAGTAAGGTTTTAATGACAACAGGTTGTTTTCAATACAGAAATGAAAATTTTCGTCTTATATTCTCAGCTATATTTTTGTTATGAATTAAAAAAAAGCGAATTAACTGGTAGATGTAAAAAGTGGTTTATAATGTTTCATAAGTGTGAAAAACAAGGAAAAGAAGAAAAAAGAAAGTAGACAGGAAAAGAAAATATCTTGTATATGAACAACGCCGGAGGAGATGACAGGAAAATACGTTGTCAACAAAGGCGGTGTGAAATGCCTTCGAGAATATCTGTATAGTTCTGCCATTCTGCACTATCGGAATCTGGATCTTTGTTCGTGGAATCATCAGTGAATATCTCGATAAGATGGGACAGGAAACAACGAAGCAAAAAAAAAAGAAAGATGAATAGTAAAGAAATAGGCGAGAGAAACAGAGGCATAAACACACAAACGCACATACACGCATGCGCAAACAAAAACGGAATTAGCAACAAAGAAAAATGAAAGAAAAAATAAGAAGGAAAGGAAAAACAAAAGAAATCCCCTAATCCACGAAGGAATTGTGTCAAGATTGATCGGATAAAAGACGCTGTTTTGTGTTGAAAGGAAATGCAAGTGTAAGAGTTGAGAAAAAAAAAAGATAACGTTGAAAGGAAGAACAAATAAATAAAGCCAAGAGAAATAAGGAACTAGAAAACTGGAACAGCCATATAAAAGAGATATTCAAAAATTAAAGGCTCTAAATGAAAGAACAGTGAAAACTGAAAAGAAGAGGCGACTTAAAATAGGTAAAATATTATGTAAAAATATATAGATAGATCCCAATGATAGCAAGTGTTACGCTCTGTGAACTTGCGTTCGAGGTTGATGGATTTAAAATGAAAATAAAAATAAAGTTAACACATAAATAAAGAAAAGAATCTAATGACGCTGGGAAAGACATTTGGAGGTATATGGTAATAAATAAAGAAAACCAGATATGACAAGCCTTTTTACTAAATGTTATGTTTCTTAAAAACGTTTGCGATCATAGTTCTTCACAGTTTCCTTCTATATATCTGATATGCCATGACATATTTGGAAATATAGTATAGTTGTTACCTTTTGTTTTTTTTGTTTTGTTAATTCCGTATTCTAGACTGACTGCTATTCAAATCTAGAGAACCCATTCTGCTCTTCTATTTAAACATAGCTAGGGAAATAATATAGTTTCAAGCTTTTCCCAAAAATCATTTTTGGGAAAATGAGCGCGGTTGATGAGATGGAAACTTGAACACATCGCTTATGTTCACGCTACCTACACATCTAGTGTTTAAAACGTAATTTAATACATAACATATTCAATGCAGACATGCCCAATATAGGCTTCTGTAAAAGCTACGACATTAGAAACACTCTACGAACCTAAAACAATTTTTTCCACTCTCTCAGCCAAAGTTTCACGCGAGTCTATTCGCTTGCACTTCGATCAGTGTACATAACATAAAAATAGTCGAACAAATATACAGATGAAAAGATTTTCATCGGACAACTGGCATGTGTGCTGTTAGAATGTTTCAACCGTGTTAAATTAAATCAAGCCAGCAGAAATAACTATGGAATCTTTACAGAATGGAAAAAAAAAGAAGGCAACTTACACTGAGAATCAGAAAGAGTCAATTGAAATTTCTATGACATATGCGGATCAAATATGGCTAAGAGACGTTGACACCCACAGGACATATAAGAGAAACAGAATGAAACTGCAATAATCAATCTAAGGTGTTTGGGGAAATGGACGACAGAAAAGGTAGGGAGGATAGTAATACTACTACTACTAATAATAATAATAATAAAAAAACAGGAAAAAACATTTCTAAGAGCTTCAAAGGTTAGAGAGTTGTGGGGGGTCCTGAAGAAAGAGGAAGGCCAATATCACAAATTATTTCTTAATTTCTGAAAAGATTATCGACGATTCACTGCATTTTGGAGAGGGGATTTTATATAATATGCCAGCACACTCTTCTAAAATTCTCTGTTTCTAAATACTGTACTTAATTTCTAAGAGGCAACTTTGGATATTCCTCTGCATTTTCTGATAATTGTACACAATTTCCTTTATATTCATTACGCTACCTTCATAGTCGATTTTATATAGACGTTTGATTTTGTCATCTCCGATACAGATTTCAAATCTTTGCATATAGCTATCCTATTTCACGATATCTAATACGTTTTTCTGTTTTTTTATTCCGAGTCTAACATCAAAAAATATAAACAGAATATCTTGTGGTTTAAAGATTATGTCTACCAGTAATAGATCCTGATATTAATTCCAATTTTCTTAATCACCTCTCCCTGACTCATTAATTCTTTAAGGAGATATACACAGCTAAACAATTCCGGGCAATTATGATAGTTTAAATTCCCGTGTATGGCAGCAATATGATGTTTTCGATAATGAGTCGATTCAACTCATGAAACACAGTCAGTTATTAACTGGCGCAAGGAATAGCTTATTAATCTTAACATCTCCAAAAAGAAAATGATATATTTTGTTCAGCTGAAAGAACGGTTTTCCCCGCCATGAGCCTGGGTGATATTAATCCACAGGATAATGACTCACTACAGTTTCACTGACCTTTTTTTTCCGCTGACATGAAGTGGAAATATATTGAATCAAAAGCTATGTTCGCTCCTAGGAATCTTGGTTCTCTGTGTCTTGCTAGACAATTTTTCTCGCCAGAATCTATCTTATATATTTATAAGTCTTCCATTCGCCCATGTTTTGAATATTGCTGCCCCATCTGATTCTTGATAAAATCCAAAGATGAATTTGCAATGTTATTTTTACTGACATGAAATCACAGCGAGAGTAATTTTTCACCACCAAAACGTAGCTTCGCTGTGCCTTTTCTATAAAACCTTTCATGTTATTTCTTCTGATGAGCGTTTCTCCATGGTATCTAGATTTTATGAATCTAATCGCAACACAAGATGGCCGACAAGGTCTCATTGTTTTATAGATGAAATGGATAGATATAACCGTAAGTTCTATGTTAATGGGGTTTCTTCTCTCGTGCTTCTCTATTGTAGAACTCTCTCCCTGCTTTTCAGTCAACATTTTCTTTAAAGATTTAAATGAAATGACGGTTTTTATCTTCTATCCACTTATTCTTTTATTGTTTTCTCTCCTTGATATACTGTTATACACATATTCTCTCACACAGAATAACCCTATGCCTCTTAGCAGTTTTATTTTCTTGCTTAAGGTGAAGTGATTCAAAAAATCCAGTATGGTGATTTTCCTTTCTTTAATGACATATTAGCGAAAAATAAAACTGCAAAAAAAACTCACTATTCAATTTTACTAAAGTTAAAAGTTCAATTAATATATCTGGATTTCGGTAAACTATTACATATCGGTATATGCATAGGTTCCAGAATTAATGCAAGCCAATTTTTCAGCTAAGTTCTCTAGTGGTAGAATAAATGGAGTCGTGTTTTTTATAAGGGGATTATAAACACAATTCCTACACGTACTATAATTATGATATAATTAATATCGATTTTAAGGTGTTTCAATTTTGTCATACGTTAGTAATGCTTGAAGGCCTATGAAATCTTCTCTGTAATAGTATACGACTGTTTCTTCTTATACTATTTACTCAACTTCAACTTTTCGAAATAAATGGCTTATAAAAGGTAGAAATACAGAAAATATATGCCCTTGAAAATAGTTATGCTTATTATATTTCTTTACTGTTTTTAAAATGAATGACATCGTTTTTCTTTCATTTTCAAAATGAGAAACTCGTTTTTGAAATACAAAGAAATTTGTTGGATTACCTAGACGTTTGCTTGCGTGTAGTAACCATCTGTCTTGGAAGATAAGACTAATAATCTTTTCGTGGAAACATTAAAGAATTTGCCCAATTTTATTTCAACATGATGTTGATGGTCCCTTTGTAGATGAAACATTTTCAAATACAACAGTACTCGAAATTTCATAGTTAGAAAATGGACTGATTTACTGACAGGCAGCATTTTCTGACGTTCATTTGTTCTTTCGTTTGTTCGTTCGTTCTTTCTTTCATTCTTAATGATTTTCTTTCTTTCTTTTGTTATTCATCATTTTATTTCTATCTTTGTCTCTTTCTTTGATCCTTTCCTTCGATGCTCCTTTCTTTCTTTCTTTCTTTCTTTCTTTCTTTCTTTCTTTCTTTCTTTCTTTCTTTCTTTGTACCTTTCTTTCTTCCTATCGTTTTTTTCTTTTTCCGTTCTTTATTTCTATCGTTGTTTTATTTCCGTTGTTTCTTTCTTTCTATTGTTGTTTCTTGTTCCGTTCTTTCTTTCTTTTTCCGTTCTTTCTTTCTATCGTTGTTTCTTTTTCCGTTCATTCTTTCTTTCTTTCTTTTTCCGTTCTTTATTTCTATCGTTGTTTCTTGTTCCGTTCATTCTTTCTTTCTTTCTTTTTCCGTTCTTTCTTTCTATCGTTGTTTCTTGTTCCGTTCATTCTTTCTTTCTTTCTTTTTCCGTTCTTTCTTTCTATCGTTGTTTCTTGTTCCGTTCATTCTTTCTTTCTTTCTTTTTCGTTCTTTCTTTCTATCGTTGTTTCTTGTTCCGTTCATTCTTTCTTTCTTTCTTTTTCCGTTCTTTATTTCTATCGTTGTTTCTCTTTCCGTTCTTTCTTTCTTTCTTTCTTTCTTTCTTTCTTTTTCCGTTCTTTCTTTCTATCGTTGTTTCTTGTTCCGTTCATTCTTTCTTTCTTTCTTTTTCCGTTCTTTCTTTCTATCGTTGTTTCTTGTTCCGTTCATTCTTTCTTTCTTTTTCCGTTCTTTCTTTCTATCGTTGTTTCTTGTTCCGTTCATTCTTTCTTTCATTCTTTTTCCGTTCTTTTTTCTATCGTTGCTTCTTGTTCCGTTCATTTCTTTCTTTCTTTTTCCGTTCTTTTTTCTTTCTATTGTTGTTTCTTGTTCCGTTCATTCTTTCTTTCTTTTCTTTTTCCGTTCTTTTTCTTTCTATCGTTGTTTCTTGTTCCGTTCATTCTTTCTTTCTTTTTCCGTTCTTTCTTTCTATCGTTGTTTCTTGTTCCGTTCATTCTTTCTTTCTTTCTTTTTTTCCGTTCTTTATTTCTATCGTTGTTTCTTGTTCCGTTCATTCTTTCTTTCTTTTCTTTTCCGTTCTTTTTTCTATCGTTGTTTCTTGTTCCGTTCATTCTTTCTTTCTTTCTTTTTCCGTTCATTCTTTCTATCGTTGTTTCTTGTTCCGTTCATTCTTTCTTTCTTTCTTTTCCGTTCTTTTTATTTCTATCGTTGTTTCTTGTTCCGTTCATTCTTTCTTTCTTTCTTTTTCCGTTCTTTCTTTCTATCGTTGTTTCTTGTTCCGTTCATTCTTTTCTTTCTTTCTTTTCCGTTCTTTATTTCTATCGTTGTTTCTTGTTCCGTTCATTCTTTCTTTTCTTTCTTTTTCCGTTCTTTATTTCTATCGTTGTTTCTTGTTCCGTTCATTCTTTCTTTTCTTTCTTTTTCCGTTCTTTATTTCTATCGTTGTTTCTTGTTCCGTTCATTCTTTCTTTCTTTCTTTTTTCCGTTCTTTATTTCTATCGTTGTTTCTTGTTCCGTTCATTCTTTCTTTTCTTTCTTTTTCCGTTTTTATTTCCGTTCTTTTCCGTTTCTATCGTTGTTTCTTTTTCCGTTCTTTCTTTCTATTTTGTTTCTTTTTCCGTTCTTTTTTCTTTTTTTTTCCGTTCTTTGTTTCTTGTTCCGTTCATTCTTTTCTTTCTTTTCTTTTCCGTTCTTTCTTTCTATCGTTGCTTCTTGTTCCGTTCATTCTTTCTTTCTTTTTCCGTTCTTTTCTTTCTATTGTTGTTTCTTGTTCCGTTCATTCTTTTCTTTTTCTTTCTTTTTTCGTTCTTTCTTTCTATCGTTGTTTCTTGTTCCGTTCATTCTTTCTTTCTTTCTTTTTCCGTTCTTTCTTTCTATCGTTGTTTCTTGTTCCGTTCATTCTTTCTTTCTTTCTTTTTCCGTTCTTTATTTCTATCGTTGTTTCTTGTTCCGTTCATTCTTTCTTTCTTTCTTTTTCCGTTCTTTATTTCTATCGTTGTTTCTTGTTCCGTTCATTCTTTCTTTCTTTCTTTTTCCGTTCTTTCTTTCTATCGTTGTTTCTTGTTCCGTTCATTCTTTCTTTCTTTCTTTTTCCGTTCTTTATTTCTATCGTTGTTTCTTGTTCCGTTCATTCTTTCTTTTTTTTTTTTTTTCCGTTCTTTCTTTCTATTGTTGTTTCTTGTTCCGTTCATTCTTTCTTTTCTTTCTTTTTTCCGTTCTTTTCTTTCTATCGTTGTTTCTTGTTCCGTTCATTCTTTCTTTCTTTCTTTTTCCGTTCTTTATTTCTATCGTTGTTCCTTGTTCCGTTCATTCTTTCTTTCTTTCTTTTTCCGTTCTTTCTTTCTATCGTTGTTTTTTGTTCCGTTCATTCTTTTTTCTTTCTTTCTTTTTCCGTTCTTTCTTTCTATCGTTGTTTCTTGTTCCGTTCATTCTTTCTTTTTTTTTTTTTTCGTTCTTTCTTTCTATCGTTGTTTCTTGTTCCGTTCATTCTTTCTTTCTTTCTTTTTCCGTTCTTTCTTTTCTATCGTTGTTTCTTGTTCCGTTCATTCTTTCTTTTTCTTTCTTTTTCCGTTCTTTCTTTCTATCATTGTTTTTTGTTCCGTTCATTCTTTCTTTTCTTTCTTTTTTTTCCGTTCTTTATTTCTATCGTTGTTTCTTGTTCCGTTCATTCTTTTCTTTTCTTTCTTTTTCCGTTCTTTCTTTCTATCGTTGTTTCTTGTTCCGTTCATTCTTTTTTTCTTTTTCCGTTCTTTATTTCTATCGTTGTTTCTTGTTCCGTTCATTCTTTCTTTTCTTTCTTTTCCGTTCTTTCTTTCTATCGTTGTTTCTTGTTCCGTTCATTCTTTCTTTCTTTCTTTTTCCGTTCTTTCTTTCTATCGTTGTTTCTTGTTCCGTTCATTCTTTCTTTCTTTCTTTTTCCGTTCTTTCTTTCTATCGTTGTTTCTTGTTCCGTTCATTCTTTCTTTCTTTCTTTTTCCGTTCTTTCTTTCTATCGTTGTTTTTTGTTCCGTTCATTCTTTCTTTCTTTCTTTTTCCGTTCTTTCTTTCTATCGTTGTTTCTTGTTCCGTTCATTCTTTCTTTCTTTCTTTTTCCGTTCTTTCTTTCTATCGTTGCTTCTTGTTCCGTTCATTCTTTCTTTCTTTTTCCGTTCTTTCTTTCTATTGTTGTTTCTTGTTCCGTTTTTCTTTCTTTTTCCTTTCTTTCTTTCTATTGTTGTTCCTCTTTCCGTTCTTTCTTTCTATCGTTGTTTCTTGTTCCGTTCATTCTTTCTTTCTTTCTTTTTCCGTTCTTTCTTTCTATCGTTGTTTCTTGTTCCGTTCATTCTTTCTTTCTTTCTTTTTCCGTTCTTTCTTTCTATCGTTGTTTCTTGTTCCGTTCATTCTTTCTTTCTTTCTTTTTCCGTTCTTTCTTTCTATCGTTGTTTCTCTTTCCGTTCTTTCTTTCTTTCTTTTTCCGTTCTTTCTTTCTATCGTTGTTTCTTGTTCCGTTCATTCTTTCTTTCTTTTTCCGTTCTTTCTTTCTATCGTTGTTTCTTGTTCCGTTCATTCTTTCTTTCTTTTTCCGTTCTTTCTTTCTATCGTTGTTTCTTGTTCTGTTCATTCTTTCTTTCTTTTTCCGTTCTTTATTTCTATCGTTGTTTCTTGTTCCGTTCATTCTTTCTTTCTTTCTTTTTCCGTTCTTTCTTTCTATCGTTGTTTCTCTTTCCGTTCTTTCTTTCTTTTTCTTTTTCCGTTCTTTCTTTCTATCGTTGTTTCTTGTTCCGTTCATTCTTTCTTTTTTCTTTTTCCGTTCTTTTCTTTTCTATCGTTGTTTCTTGTTCCGTTCATTCTTTCTTTCTTTTTCCATTCTTTCTTTCTATCGTTGTTTCTTGTTCCGTTCATTCTTTCTTTCTTTTTCCGTTCTTTCTTTCTATTGTTGTTTCTTGTTCCGTTCATTCTTTCTTTCTTTCTTTTTCCGTTCTTTCTTTCTATCGTTGTTTCTCTTTCCGTTCTTTCTTTCTTTCTTTTTCCGTTCTTTCTTTCTATCGCTGTTTCTTGTTCCGTTCATTCTTTCTTTCTTTTTCCGTTCTTTCTTTCTATCGTTGTTTCTTGTTCCGTTCATTCTTTCTTTCTTTTTCCGTTCTTTCTTTCTATCGTTGCTTCTTGTTCCGTTCATTCTTTCTTTCTTTTTCCGTTCTTTCTTTCTATCGTTGTTTCTTGTTCCGTTCATTCTTTCTTTCTTTCTTTTTCCGTTCTTTCTTTCTATCGTTGTTTCTTGTTCCGTTCATTCTTTCTTTCTTTCTTTTTCCGTTCTTTATTTCTATCGTTGTTTTTTGTTCCGTTCATTCTTTCTTTCTTTCTTTTTCCGTTCTTTCTTTCTATCGTTGTTTCTTGTTCCGTTCATTCTTTCTTTCTTTCTTTTTCCGTTCTTTATTTCTATCGTTGTTTCTCTTTCCGTTCTTTCTTTCTTTCTTTCTATCATTGTTTTTTTTTTCGTTTTTTCTTTCTTTCTGTCGTTGTTTTTTCTTTCATTCTTTCTTTCTATCGGTGATTGTTTGTTTCTTTCTATTGTTCTTTCTTTCTTTATTTCTTGGTTTATTTTATTTGTTCGTTCTTTATATCGTTGTTACTTACTTTCTTTCTTTCTATCGTTGTTTCTTTCTTTCTTTCTTCGTTTATTTTATTTATTCGTTCTTTATATCGTGGTTACTTTTTCCTCTCTTTCTTTTATTCTTTCCCTTGAATTTTGATATATTTTCTATTTTCTAAAATTTTTGTTGACATTTTATCTTTTATTTCGTCGTTCTTTCTTCCTGTACACATATTTCCCAGTCATGTGGAACTTCATATGACGCATATTTGTCGAATTAAATTGTTATACAAAGACAGTATGTATAAACATTCGATTCACTCAACAAAATATGAAAGTAAAAGAAAAAAATGCTCTGAAATCAATATTCTTTATATTTTCAAAGTGTTCGATTACGGCTTATATCCAATAAATGATAGTCTATTAAAGGCACAGATTAAACTTCAACCAGCCCAAAATGTCTGCAATACAACCATCATCTGTCTTCCACCCTTCTTTATTTTGCCTTCAAGACTATATCTCTGACAAATTTCTTAATTTCAAATGAGAAGATACATTCTTTTCTGAAGGTCATGGGTTGTCAATTTCGAAATTAAATGGAAATCTTATAGACGAAAGTTAAGAAAGGGGAAAAAAACGTTGAAAACAATAAACAAAACTAAAAATATATACAGAAAGAGGACAAGATGTCAGAGTTAAGTTTTCTTGTGTCGTAAATATTGGGAAAAGCAAGGAAGGTAATCATAGCAGAGTATAACATAGAGGTCACGGCTTGTTTGTCGAAAATTCTCCATTAATTTTGCCAGGCCTGATGAGTAATTTATGGACCCTGAGTAAATTACACCACCTCCTTACACACCCATGTATATATCTATCTAGCTATATATATATATATATATATATATATATATATATATATATATATATATATATATATATATGTATTATTTTGTGTGTATGTATATATATATATATATATATATATATATATATATAGTGGCGTTCGTTATTCATGTATATATGCAAGTATCTAAATATTCGCATATATACATGGGTGTGTAGAGAGATGGTGTAATTTACTCAGGGTTCATAAATTACTCATCAGGCCTGGCAAAATTAATGGAGAATTTGCGATAATTTTCAGGTGGCATGACACAGCCTGTCGCCTCTAAGAGGTTGAATTCAATGTTTACTTTCGTTTTTACACTCGCTCTATCTCTGATATTGAGCACTTTATCCCATAAATATACCACGCATTAAAACTATATTCCTCATATATATATATATATATATATATATATATATGTGTGTGTGTGTGTGTGTGTGTCGGTGCACTATAATGAATATAGAGGCAGCTGCACACTTATGAAAGATACGTACACGATTATAAATCAAGTTGATTTTAGTGTTTATAGAGACTTGAAAATTTATATCTAAAGATAGCTGTATATATTAACCAATACATTTCCAGTATAACCTGGTTAGCTCAGTGTCGAGCAGTGCTAGACAAGTGGGCCTCGTATGAGAATAAGGAAATGTATACTGTGTTGAGCATGTACGAGGAGCCTAACTTTATGGCATTTTTCTACAACTAAATCATATTTATTAAATAACTATCAACAAATATATTTAGAAAAAAATTCAGCCCCCAAATACAGACACACACGCACGCACACACACACACGCACATAAAACACACATACACGCGCACACATAAAACACAGGGACTCACACGCACAAACAAATATACATATATTTATATATATTGGCATTATTTTTTCTTGAATAAATATCTTTTTAAAACAATAGACATTTTTTGTCTATTACATTTATTGATCGTTCTTTAAGTATGCGAATAGCATTTCGCGATTTTGAGTGCTGTTGTAACAAAATAGCAAAAACTTCTTGTCTAGTCTGAGACTTGAATCAAATATGTGTTTGTCAGGAGCGTGATTACATCAAGAAAATCAAGTGAATATTAGTAGAGACTTGTTTTAAAGAGTCTTTGAAAACTAAATGTATTGCGGCTGTATGCATTATGACATGTATCCATAATGACGACATGTAACTCAAAAACTAAGGATTTGCGCACATATGTATATATAGACATTTTTCCTTGTTTTGATGTGAGGAACCCGTCCCTAATGTGTGTAAAAGTATTTTGATACACTCTGTAAATTTTAGAAGGTTGAAAAAGTTCTCGCTGATTTTTCATGAAAAGTAAAGATTTATTTACAGAAATTTGTAAGAAACATATCACTGAATGTATTGTCCATTGCTGGCCACTACTTTTTCCCATCTTTCTAGCAGCATTTGTATTCCACATCGGAAAAACGACATGTCTTTTGAGGCTACCCACGAGTAGAGCCATTGTTTGGCATCTTCATGAGAATGAAAGTGCTGCTCATCCAGACCATGTGCCATCGATCGGAACAAGTGACAACCAGACGGGGGAATGTCTGGTGAATACAGTGGGTGGGGTAGAACTTCCCATTTAAGCGTTTCCAAGTAGTTTTTCATCAATTTAGCAACATGTGGCCTTACGTTGTCATGTTGCAAAATCACTTTGCTGTGTCTCTGCTCATATAGCGGTCGTTTTTTCTTCAATGCTCAGCTCAAACGCATCAGTTGTATTCGATAGCGATCTCCTGTGATGTTTCCGGTCGGTTTGAGCAGTTCATAATAGATTACACCCAGCTGGTCCCACCAAATGCTGAACAGAAGCTTTGAACCATGGATATTCATCTTTGCCGCAGATGCATGGCCGGACTTACCCCACGATCGTCTAAACTTAGGGTTATCGTAGTGTATCCACTTTTCATCGCCGGTTACGATACAATGCAAAAAAAAATCCTTTTCTATCATTGAGGCAACTGTTCACACATGATGAGACGTCATTCAACGCCTCTCGGCTCCAACTCGTACGGCACCAAATTCTCTTGCTTTTGAATTATTCCTAATGCTTTAAAACGTTTCGAAACTGTTGTATGATCAACTCCTAATGATTCTGCAAGTTCAGTCTTTATGCAGTGATACCTTCACTTCTTCGTCTTCAAACTTTTTCCAGGTGTCAGCGCATTCTTTATCTTCATCATCAAAATCATTATTTTTGAAGCGTCTAAACCAATGCCTGCATGTTGTCTCCGAAAGAGCATGGTCGCCGTAATTCTGTGTGTTTCGGCTGCAGAATTCTTTTGAATAAAGGAGGGCAGTAAAATCCACCGCAGATACCCTTTGTTTGGCAGGAACTCCAACATGTTTAACAAAGTTGTTTACACTTCAGCGAAATGGCATACACTGAATTTCAAACTTGCTTATGGTACTTCCTTATAACTCCGTTACCATCTGAAACTACACACAGTTCTGGGAACGCCATCTGTTAGAAAACAGCGAGGTCAAGCTAATGATATATTGGACCTCCCCAAGTAGAGCTCAACCTGTTAGCGATCTCGAAAAACAAAGGTGCACAAATGTATTCGGATGAATATGAAACCTATAATCGGGTTGTTTCTAATAACTATGTGGTATTTATATTTTCGTTCTAATATTTATTTGGTGATCAAAATACCTAAAGATTATGTTACGGTATTATTATTATTATTATTATTATTCTGCTTTCCTTTCATTATTATTCTAATTATTCTGTCTTCTTCTTCTTCTTATTCTTATTATTATTATTATTATTATTAATATTATTATTATTAATATTATTATTACTATTATTATTACTATTATTATTATTATAAATCATGGAATTAACAATACAATTCAGAACATTTAATTTCAGATTGTAGAATGTTGAATACGATTACTGAGATATTCGCAATTAAAAGCTGCTGCATTTATAGAGAAATAATGATCACGATTTAGTTTAGGGCGTTTGTAGTTAAAAAATGAATCATTTGTGTCAGCCACACACATTATACATACATCTATACATGTGTGTGTGTGTTAGTGCATATATATATATATATATATGTGTGTGTGCATGTGTGTGTATCTATCTATCTATATATATATATATATATTGGTTTCAGGACAACAACATTAACAAGAGACTTACATGACATATGTCGGATTCAATCTGTATTGCACAACATTTAAAGGAACATTCCTGTCCACATGTTTGATTTAGAGAAATATTAATTGACAATACAATTATTCTCCACAATGAAAATCAAAAATGAAAATTTCAAATTCATGATGCCATCTGTATAAGAAAAATACAGCCATTACTAAATAAGGTTAATTATGAGAATAATAACATTGTTTTAAAACGTCTATAACAGCAAGTTTTTAAAATATTTAAATTGAAACTATACAGGTACAATTATAAAAACAGTGTTTTAAGATAATTAAAGTGACATTTAAGGAAATATAAATTAAGTTATCTCCCTTAGATAGCGGGTGGAGAAAAATCATTGCGAATAATTGAATTGCATATATTAGATGTCCATATTACTACAAAATAGCAATTATAAAATTCTTATACATCATGGGGAAACTAATTCATCCACAAAACAGATTTTCTTACAGTGAACTAAAGAATATATAAAAAAAAACTAATTAATAACAGCTTTCCAAACTATATAGTTGAGGAACAAATAGGATGCTTTCTTAAAAGTCTGAATACTAAGCAAATAGAACATAATACTGCTTCACATAATTACAAATATATCAATCTCCTATATCGTAATAAAATACATACTACTTATAAATAAGATGAAAATATTCTAAAAAATGAGTAAATACTAATATATATATACGACAGATCCTAGCAAAATAAGTTAATCATACTACACTAAATCTGGTATATATATAATATATATATATATATATATATATATATATATATATATATATATATATATATATGGATATTGATGTCAGCATTGAGCGTTACTACACAGGTATATGAAGGGTAGGATAGTACAATAGACCTTGCTGCTAATAATGCATCATTGACCAGCATGTATAAATAATCGAGTCGAAACGCAATACCGGTGCCTGATTATTGCGTCCAAACTTGAAACAGACTGTCGCATTTCGGTGTTGACCTCAGTGTCTGCTTTTTTATTTATATTCAATACGCCCAATTCTTGATATTGTGTAAAAGAGTTCATAAATATAACATAACTTAAAACAATATTTTTATCATAT